ACACACACACACACACACACACACACACACACACACACACACACACACACACACACTGGCAGAGTCCTGTGATTTACTCTTTTTTTTGCCCCCACATCCACTGTTAGCGACCATGTTCAAAGGTCATTTCCCAAAACTCAGGATGTTATGTAACTCAGACATTAACCTGAATGTTACATGAGTTGTAGAGAACTCAAATATGGAGGCGCTTTTCATGTCACATTCACAGTCTGACCTCATATCCTTTAGTTTGAGATTTGTTCTACTTTATGTTAATGTTTTAAAGACTTATATCCATCCATCCATCCATCCATCCATCCATCCACCATCCATTCATCCATCATCCATCCATCCCATCCATGAATCAATGATGTGATGCGTTTACTTTTTGGCTTATCTCACGGTTATGTAACACATTTATTTTTCATATGTGAGTACTTTGTACTTGATGCATTTTGAAGATTATTGCATAATCTTGTGAGAAATACAACAGCATTACTTATGGTGCTCTGCTATATCAAGGCATTTTGGCATGATGCCATGTGAGATTTAATCCAGGATAAAGGGGGCAGAGTTCCACACACATTGCTCTGCTCAGGAGGAGGAATGCAGGGACCACTGCTTTAAAGGCTCATATGAGAAAAAACACATAACCTCTCAGATTATCCGAGATTTGGTTGTGAGGATGAATATGAAGGAAATTCATTCACATTCAAGACATTTTTTGCATTAACTGGCAGCTCAGAGACATTGTAGAGCACTCCCAGACTGTACAAGTAAAAAACCTAAAAACACTTTACAGTACGATGTTAGGAAAAAAGACCCTAAAAAACAGTTAGCCAATACAAAATTATGTGGAAAAAATATACAAGCATACATATAGGGTTAACATATGCAAATTTAAGGTTGTAGTTTCTGTTACCATCCATAAGATGGATGAATACGTGGATCTAAAAGAATAAAAGCATTCCCATAACATGCACCACCAGCTCATCCAGATGTAAACATTCTGACGCTGACAAACACTGACCCGGTGCTGGAAACAGTTCAGTGAGTGGGAAGAAATCTGCTGTTTACCTGAGCTTCAGGTTCTTTGTTCCAGCCAGGCCGCTGTAACTCAACCTGCTGAGCTGAGCCCCACCCAAACAAAGCTCGGCCCTCCAAATGCTGCCATAATACTTTGTGTGTACCTCAGCTTTGTGCAGGAAGACTCACACTTGTAATTAAACTCTGTTTAGTTGGTATAATTAGAGATTAACAGAGACCGTCTGGATATGGTTGTGTGAAGCTCAGATTGTAACCTCCATGCTGACATCCTGCTCAGAATGACATCCTGTCATTCATCTTGATGTGGGATTTAATGAACAGGATGTGGAGAGGTGGTGAGAGCTTTTCCCCAAATCCACCTTGAGATCTAACCGTGCCCAGCTTCTGTTAGAAGTAATGTACTGCTTAAGAGATTTTCTAACCAAATTTCAGAAGTTCATTACCCTCCACATCTATGGAATCTACAAAGTCTGTTTCTGACCTTAGTCCTAGCATCCAATAGTTGGGCTGATATTGAAAAACTAATTCCTAACCAGGTCCTTGCTCACTCTGGATGAAAATGATCCAGTTTCCATTCATTAGTTCCCAGTGCTGTGCAGGTTTTGATGAGCCCCATACATTGAATCCTCTCTGTCTCTTCCATAGTTTGAGGATAGAAGCAGAAATCGTGTCTCTTTTCTTTTCTTTTCACCTCATGAAAGTTGAGTTTAATGGTTAGTTGACTGGTCCTGTTTAGCAGGAAGCAGCTTGGATCCTCCTCTTAACGCACAGCGGTGCACATTTAAGCGTGGATAATGGATGTGTGTGTCTGTGGGTGATGGATATCGCTGTGAGCTAATCTGCCGGCTGCCCCCTGGCGTGTCCTGTTTGGAGGGCTGTACCACTGGACTGGGACGGAGGGGGTATTCTGATGTTCTGCTGTTCTGTGAGCGTTTGTTACATGTGTGTTTTCGTCCCCAGTATGGCCGGAGCCCCCTGCACCTGGCTGCCTACAAAGGCCACCTGGAGGTTGTACGCATTCTGCTGAGAGCCGGCTGCGACCTGGACATTCAGGACGATGTGAGTAGCCTGAGGGGTCCGGAGACTGCTTCCTCATGCTTTCCAGTCCCGATCTGACGGTGGTCACCCCAGGCTGCTTCTTCCTTTGCTTTCAGATTATTTGCTGTCTTGAGAATTGTCTCCAACCCTGTAAGCAGAGGCGTGTTTTTAACGCATACAGAACTGTAGTGTCATGGCTTCTGCTGGTCTTGAGTGGGACCCGCTTGACTGTCCACTTGTGGGCCTGCCTTCAGGATACGCGGCCCTCTGTCCCAGTCATAATGCTGATCTCTGGTATGGCCGAGTTGACTCTCTATGGTCAGTGAGCTCTGCCACAGGCTGCAGTGCGCCCTCTGGGAGCAGGAGGTGCAGACTAAAGCAGGAGGGGAAGCAGAAGGAGGAGGAGGAGGAGGAGGCAGGACGACAGTGGACACAGTCTGGGATAGAGCCATCAGAAAGAGGGAAGGAGGTTAGCCAACCCTGTTTCTACTGAGCCAATGGAAACCTGTATCCCCCACCCTTCCTTCTCTAAACAAGCTGCACTCGTCCACTGCCGCTCTATCTCCTGGTTCAGCTATTCCACTTGGAATACTCTCTTCTTGCCTATTTCTCTTCATTCTTATGGCGATAATGCACCTAGCTTTTGTTCCCGCTGCCCTCACATGGCTCACTGCTAATCCTCTCTCAGAAATGGCAGCTGAACATTTGGACTTTGCTGCTTTCTTCAGCATGTGCTGGACCAGCTTCACATCTCTCAGCTGCTTGATTCAGCGATAGGTTCCGTTGGGGATATGAATATGTCAATAAACATTTGAAACTAGTTTGGCAGAACCCAGAGTCCCGTCAGTAAAGCAAAGGGGAGAGACAGGTGGTCCATCACAATCACACAGAGAGGCATCCAGGCACACCCACGCCTGGGAGTCTCCACTTACCTAAATCTGCATGTTTTTAGACTGGGGGAGGAAGCCAGAGTACCGGGATCTGAACTTGCTGTGAAACACTGGGGCTAAATCCATGAAATGCCTATTCTGGACAGGTCAGCAGTCCATCACAGAGCCACCCAAAGACCAACAAGACAAACAACCATGCATGCTCACGCTCACTCCATTGTAATCTGGAAGAATCACTTCCCAATCGTGTTTGGTGGGAGGAATGTGAGCAAAGGGAACCCACCCGTACACATCTGAACTCTGAACCAGGAACCCTCCAGTGACCTACAGGAGCCCTCCATCACACCACTGTGCAGCCCACACAAGACTGCTGAGCTGTTAGTGAGAAATGAAGGCCTCACTTTTAATGGGCCAGACCATTCCAACTTCCAGACTTGTTTAGGTCCAAAGTGCACACTGAATTGTGCCATCACAGGCTCACAGATCAAAACCATTTTAAGGTTTAAGGTTTTAATGCTCTGCTTGTTGGAGGTGATCACAGCCTGCATGCTAGTTACTGAATACACAAAAAAGAAACCAGATGGCATGTCAAACAAAACGTTTTGAGGCTAATCCTTCAAGAGCAAATGCAAGCTTAAAAGCTTTTTGGATACTAATATGGCAAACCTGTATTTCACTGAGCACTCATTCAACTTGGTTAGGTCTTGGAAGTGCTTGCCAAGCATTCAGCTGTCCTTTACTAAGTTAACAGTAATGACAGCAGAATCCCCAAAATCAAACTACTCCACATAAACATCATCTGGACTACTGTGGAGAAGAAAGGGCTCGGCTTTTCATCTCAAACTTTCCGTGTTCTGGCATCCTTTCTCTCATCTGGAACCAGAAAAAAGGAGTTGACCGGGGTTTCCATGAGGGGACCTGGCTGCAGGTTTACTGAGTAGACACAGTACAGACGCACCTGGGGAAGGGAGATGTGTCAACAGAGAGGATTTCCTCTAGTTCCATGCTGGTTTTGGGATTGTTGTGTGTGTTGTTGTGGGGATGTGCTGTTTTTGAGTGTGGTGTGCTGTGTTCCTGCAGGGGGAGCAGACGGCTCTACACCGGGCCGCCGTGGTGGGAAACAGCGATGTTATCAGCGCTCTCATCCAGGAAGGGTGTGCTCTGGACAGACAGGACAAGGTGTGGGTCAGAAAACACACGCTCACACACACAGCTGCTGGTGTGGGAGGGTTCTGGTTGCTGCTCTGCTTTCTCACTCTGGTGAAAGCTGAGCGCTGGGCTACAGGACAACAGCCATGGGTCACCAAGCGTTAGGCAGAGGACGAGGAACGTTAAGGAGAATAATGAACATTATCCAGACACGCTATCTGTGGCTCAGTTTTATTTATGATCAGATCTGTCCTCAAATGAGTCATGTACAGCACTTTGTTTGAATTTTTCATCACATTTGGTATTTTTCATTTATAGGTGTATTTCATTCTTCATACATTTCCTTTTGTTACATGATGTTATCTCCAAATCTGTTCACATTTTGCTGTCTCAGTCTGTGCCTCATTCTGGCTCTACTCTTCTGCACTATTGTGCCAGTGGTAGCTGAACTATGGAGAAGCTGAACTGACAACCCCTCAGATGGTAAAATATTTAAAGTGGGGGTTTGTTTCTGGAAAATGAAAGTGTTGGAGACCCAAAGCGAAACTTTGGTTGTATTCTGCCGGGTTCCTGTGTGGTACTGAGTGTAGGTGTCACTGCTCAGAGGCAGGACGCACCTGGACAGGCCACCAGCAGCCACACACACTCACACTCCCAGGGGCACGTGTGTGTTTTTGGGTGGAGGGAGGAAGCCGGAGTACCCACACAGAACAGAACCCATGCAAACAAACGCCACACAGAAAGAAGCAGCCATGGCACAAGAGAGTTGGACTTTAGTCATCCTAAAAGGAAATGATAGAAGTCAGCTACAAATCATTAAGAACCATCTACTTTTTCTCACTGAGCAGAAAGATAGGCCCCACTTCTCAGAATCTGTCGGGATAAATGCCTTTAAAAGCCTCTTCACTGTGGTTAGAGCCAGTTTCTGTGTTTTCTAGCCAGTCGGGGTCTGCAGATACATTAGAGCCTATGGCATCTGGCAGCTTATACTTTCTTGAGCCTGATTGATTAAATCATGAATGCACCTAATGACGTGAGAAAAATGGACCCCCTTCTTTTTGGTCCGTGCTCCTCGAGCAGCACTGAGACGCCCCACCTAAGGTTTTAGAAACGCATGCAGACATCTGTGGATTCATCCCTGCATTTCAGCAGATGACAGACGCTTACAGCAGCAGGTGTGTGTGTGTGTGTGTGTGTGTGTGAGTGTGTGTGTGTGTGTGTGTGCGTGGCGTTGAGGAACACAACAGCAGGTGGTGAGACAGCTTCTTGAACAGTGGATATAATTGCCTGTTGTGTAGCCTTCCAGATGACTGGGGGACAAAGGGCCTGTGAGGGGGGGGGGGGGGGGGGGGGGGGGGGGGGGGGAGCCTTTATGTGCTCCAAACATCTTGGATAGATGCAGGAGGCACTCCAGGGAGGAACTCAGTTGTAATAATGAAAGAACAACCTCCCCCGACTCTTAGCCTGCCCCCCCTCCACCACTCTGTCTGTACTTCCCTCTATGTGTCTCTACACAGTGTCTTTTTTTTTACACACAAAAGCCTCTGCTAAAGGCACAAACAAACACAAATATCTTTGGCATCTTGTGTTTATCAGAGCTACAGGTTCTGTTCCTAACAGTGATTGAGTCTGGAGGACACACTTATTAAAGAAATTCACAGTATCTGCAATGGAAACGTTTTAATGGCCCAAGCAGGACGACAGGGAACAACTTTCATTTGAAAACCTTTGACTCTGTTAGCTTATTTATTTTACGTGTACATGCACTTCCTTTCCTGTAGTCATGCATGTCTGTACAAAATAATCGCCTTTTCTTAAGTTTGGCTTTTGGGTTTAGTTAAACTTAGAACTGAATCATATGTAAGATGATAAACATGCTGTGCAATGGAATGGTTGACCCGGCTGTTTGTCTTTTATTTTGGCAGGATGGAAACACTGCTCTCCACGAGGTGTCCTGGCATGGCTTCAGTCAGTCTGTCAAACTGTTGGTGAAGGCTGGAGCCAACGTCCATGCCAAAAACAAGGTGGTTTCTACTGTGCATGACTGTCATTAAGTCTGTGTAACTTTTTTAATTCACTTTCTATCTTCATGTAAAAGTTGAACTTCTGAAATTGAAGAAAGCATAGCAGTTTTTCTGGTTCAATAACATTTCCATGCTGTTATTGTGCCGTTTCTTTGCATAGAAAACATCAACATTTTAGTGGCTTGGTAAGAAAAGTAAAACCAGCCATGAAACTCTTTTCCCTAAAGAGAGAAAGCTCCCTCAGTGTCCAAACTGGGATGCTGCAAACGTTGTAAGTAAAGTTTGGTCTGCTGTACAGCCCTCTGCTTTAGGGTCATGGACTCAAAGCTACCCAACATGTTGGAGGTTTAACCAACGGACTGGTTTAACAGATAGGTAGAACTGAGTATCATCATAATAGTGGACCTCAGAGCCCTGCTGTCTGACAATGTTCCCTAATGGAAGCAGGTGGAAAGGGAACAGAACCGGTTCCAGCCCAGAACCGTGAAGAACTCCATGACTTCTTCTGCTGTGGGAGGAAGATTCTTCATTTATTGAACAACTGGAATCTGTCAGAGCTCTGACTTAAGCCAGGCTTATGACATGTTAGAGTCTCTGGAACAGAACGCTGTCATCAATGCTAGCAAATGCTCTTCTCTCAATGTGTCCAGGCAGGAAACATCGCTCTCCACCTTGCATGTCAGAATGGACATGCTCAGAGCGCCAAGGTTCTCCTCCTGGGAGGTTCCAGGCCAGACAGCAAGAACCATGTAAGTCTGCAGAAGGGTTGTGTTGGGTTCAGACACAGTAAGACATTTCTGTGATATATCCATAATGAATGTCCTATTGCTTGAACAATGATTGGGAAAAGACCGGGAAAGAGTGTGTATATATATATATATATATATATGGACACAGTGCCTTGAAAAAGTATTTGGACCCCTTGAACTTTTCAACCTTTCGCCACATTTCAGGCTTCAAAGATAAAGATATAAAATTTTAATTTTTGAAGAATCAACAAGTGGGACACAATCATAAAGTGGAACGAAATGTATTGGATATTTCAAACTTTTTAAAAAAATAAAAAAACTGAAAAACTTAGGTGAAATATCCAATACATTTTGTTCCACTTCATGATTGTGTACCACTTATTGATTCTAAACAAAAAAATTAAAATTTTATATCTTTGTTTGAAGCCTGAAATTTGGCAAAAGGTCAAAGTTGCCAGGTACTGTGTGTATATTTTATTTCTACATATACATATATATAAAAATGTGTGTTTGTGTGTGTATGGAGACCCTTAAAAAAATCAGAATATCATAGAAAAGATGTTTAATGTCACCCTAAAAAACTTTCTTAGATTATAGATTCAGGGCCCATAATTTAAACGATTTCAAGTATTTATTTATTGTTACATCATTTGGAAGCCATCCATCCATTTTCACGACTGCTCATTCCCTAATGGGGTCGCGGGGGCTTTGGAACCCTTTTTAGCTTTATTCCTTTGCCTGTAGCCAAAAAACGTTGACTTTTGGTTTTCCTGATCACATGCATTTGCAGCTTTGAATGAAAGGATGACATCCTGCTCCCTGCTGTGCAAATGCCTGTGTGTTTACACAGCTCTGTCATTTCTTAATTATAAAACACTGTGTGGTGCATTTGCACTGCAGATGTAATATGCAGCCTCCTGGGCAAGCTCAAAATAGCTCAGATGCCAGAAGAGGTTGCTGCTGAGTGTGGGCCGGAGAAGCGGAGGACCTCAGATATACAGCTCTGTCAGGAACCTCAAGTGATGAACATTTGAATGAATGCATTTAGCAGTGTCTTCTATTCAAAGCCATGTACAAGGATGCATTTCACCAAACAGTTGAACGCTTCTAACATCAGGAAAGAGCAGATCTTTGGTCGGTTAAGTTCAGTTCATGAGCTGCAGCTGGAACAAAACATGAGAGGAGGAGGAGGTAGAGGATCTGTTATCAGAGGATCAGATTTAGTTGCTGAAAAAGATGCATCATTATTTTGGCTGTTGTTCAGTTCTGGGGGTCGGGGGCTGAATTCCCCTGATTACAAGCCACACGGTTCCTGGTCAGTCCACCGCTCTTCATGCTGCTCAGAACATAATGAAACTAAATTCTATTATCAACAATACAAGTCCTGTTCTGTGTTTATCTGTCAGCTGAGACAGTAAAGTAAACGCTAGCATTGATTGGATGTCTTTCATCTTATTTAACTACCATAATAGTGTCAAATGACCGTCGGTAGCCTTCTCCACGATCTTAAAGGCTCTTCAGGCTTTAATATTACAAAGAGCATCAGTAGACTGGATTGAATATTTCGTGAGATACAAAAGAATCCCAAAAGGGAAGTGAACATGTCTTAACTCTTCCTGAATTGGTCCATGAAGGTGTGATTAATGCTGAGGTTTCACCTGTCCCAGGCAGGTGATACGTGTCTGCATGTGGCCTCTCGCTACAACCACCTGCCTATGATCCGCATCCTGCTGGGGGCCTTCTGCTCCGTGTCCCAGAAGAACCTGGTGAGTCCCTCACTCAGAATCTGGGCCATTAGAGGGAGGAGAGGTGCATCATGGGAGCCCCCCCCCCCCCCCCCA